TGTCATTGAAAGTACCTAAGTATCATTCTTTTGAATTCCTTATCAGGTAGTTCCAATGTTGTTTCATCTTCAGAAACATTTTCTGGCTCTCTATTTTGGTCACCTGTTTGAGCTACTATGTCTTGTTTCTTTTTGGGTACTGAAATTGTCTATTATCTCTGAGACATTATATTATGTTATTACATTTTTGTTTAGTTGATGATTGCATGTTGACATGTTCTTAGACACTCATCACCTGCATCCTGGTGGGTGTGTTATAGGATGGGAATGTGTGCACAGTTCTCTGTTTGCTATTTTTTCCGTGCAGTTGAGGGTGGGCGTGTCTGGTATTGGCCATTGTCTACTATTGATCAGGAAGTACATGAGCAGGTATTGATCTTTTCCCAGTGGTTGGGAATGCAGGAGTGCAGGTGCCAACACAGTTTCTGTATCCTTTCAGGTGAGACAAGAGGAAATAAAATAGAGAAAAACACAAAAACAAACACAAAAAGGATATAATAAAGACAAAAAGAAAGAATAACTAGGGAAAACAAGCAAACAACAGCAAGGAAAGATAATTTAATAATTAAATTGAAAATTATATATTTTTTAAAGGAAACAAAGGAAGAGAAAAAAATACATGCTAAACAAAACTATGATGAACAAAAAAGAACTGAGAATAGTAAAGTAAAACCAAAGAGAAAAAAAGGAAGAAAAAAAAAGGCAAGGAGAAAAAAGAATAGAGAAGCAGAAGAAAAGATAAGAAAAAAGAAAAACAGTAGAAAAACAAGGGAAAGGAAAGAAATGAAAACAAAACAAAACACAGAAACACAGAAAGGAGAACACTGAGGGTGGGAGGTGGTTGCAGAGTCGATACAGGAAAAAAAATGGTGGTGGGGAGGTGGGCAAGGCACTGGGTACAGTTATCTTCAGACAAAGAGATAACAGGTAGCAAGGTGTGAGAAGGCAGTACGCCCAGCTCTAGATGGAGCTCCCGTTGCCCTGAAAATATCTGAAATCAGGTCACCTCATCCAGAATATGTTCTTTCAGGCCCAAAGGGCAGCTAGGGGCAGAGTGACTGTTATGGAAGGAAGCCCTGTCTGACCAGGGTGACCTAGAACAGGCTGCTTGTCTAACAATGAACATTCTGGTGGTTTGATGAGGCAGAGTTTACTTACCTCTATGTGTAATGTATACATGGTGCCCAATCTACTAGGGTGTGTCTCCAACCTCAGATGGAGCAGAGCTGTGCAAGATGCGGGGAGGTTACCAGCTGTCACTCATGGGTGGATAAGGGTGGGTGCTGGCCATGTTTCTGGTCACTAGGAGGGTTTGAGAAACAAGAGAAAGATTGCATATTTCTGTGACCAGGGTGGTCATTTGTGCTGTGCTGGAGTGAATTACCAGATTGTTGTCATGATTGAATGCAGCTTGCAAAAGTTCAAAATGTTAGTGCTGTATCAGACCACCTAGCAATTCACCCATTCCATCTTTCTCTTCTCTCACTGCTTTTGTTTATCTTACTCCACAGTACATAACCACCACCACTACCACTAGGCATTTAAGGAGCTCTGGTAGCATAGTGGTTATGAGTTGGGCTGCTAATCTCAAGGTCAGCAGTGTGAAACTACCAGTGGTTCTATGGGAGAAAGATGAGGCTATCTACTCCTGTAAAGATTTATAGCCTCAGAAACCCTATCCAGGGTCGCTATGAGGTGGTATTAACTCCACAACACAGCACCACCACCAGTTGCTGTTTGTCTTAGTTATGTAGTGCTGCTATAATAGAAATACCAAAAACGGATGGCATTAACAAATAGTTTATTCTCTCACCGTTTAGAAGGCTAAATGTCCGAATTCAGAGTGCTGTCCCTGGAGAAAAGTCCTTCTCTCCTTTCTGCAACTATATGCCCAGCCTTTCTTGGAGAACTGCTTATGTCTTGGCATTACTCTTTCCCTGATCTAGGAGATTCACAGGTCAGGGACCCAGGTTCAAAGAATACACTCCACTCCTGGCGCTTCTTTATTGTTGGTAGTAGGTCCTACCTTCTCTGCTCATATCTCTCTCCTTTTATCTCTTGTAAGATAAACGGTGTTGTAGGCCACACCACTGAGGAAACTTCCCTTTAATAGATTGGCTTCTCATAGCAGATCACATCATGGAAGTGATTACATTATATTTGATGTCATCATTTGATCAATGTCTTAATGGCTAGACCACTGATAATTCTCACCAAGTCAAGATGACACACAACCTTAACTACCATGGTATTCAATTCACTTCTCTATCTATGAAGATAATGGTTCCAGAATTATCTTCTTTATCTGCTACATTTGGTCCTTCATGTCTTTTCTGTAGAGAGTTTGGGTATCAGATCTGCGTGTTCTGAAATTTTGATGATCATTTACAGTCTTTATAATTATGTCTTCTCCAGAATGTTATAGTGTCATAGTTGGAATTATATAGCAATAGCATTTTCAGACTGGCTTTTTATACTTAGGAGTATGCATTTATGATTTCTGTATGCCTTTTCATGGCTTCTTTCTTTCTTATGTTCTTTCTCAGTATAGATATTCCATCTGGATGTCTAAAAACTCTATTAAAGTTTAATGTCTCAAATACTAAATAAATGAATAATAGGGTCTATTGATTGCAAAAAGAATTTCATCAGATAATGCAAAGTGGAGACAATTGACTATTACTACTTAATTTAAGTTAAAGAATTGTATTTTTTAAAAGATAAAACACAAAAAAAAACTAACTCTGCAAGTCTAAAATATTGCTTTTAGGAACATATATTAACTGCAAAATTACTCCTGTGCTTCAGTGATAAGTGAAAGCATTTAGAACAGTAAATACTTGTGAAATCAGCTAAATGACAAAAAGAAATCATATTTTTCTCATATTCACTTGGGAACACTAAGGCTTAACTCTGTGGCATCATTTTTCAATATTTTCCTTTAGTGAGTAGTCAAGTCTGAAATATAACCCAGGGTATAGTCTTTATGATTAGGCTACTTTGAAAGAGGTCATATGTAACTGAAGAAATGGTTCAAGTGGTTCAATTATAATTCATGAAAGGTAGACAATTTTGAAATGATGAAATATAATGAAAAACATGGTATGCATTAATCTATAATCCTAGGCTTTAGGGTTAAAAAACTAGCTGTGGAGACACTACTTGTGTCAGAATAGAACTGTACTTCATCAGGTTTTCAAGTGATGATTTTTTTTTTTCTTTCTTTTTTAAAGTAAAATACTAGGCCTTTTATTCTGACATGTCCTTGGATGAACTGGAACCTCCAATCCAGGAACTAGTTTGCATCTCCCAGGAACTAGTCCCTCAAAAATAGTGTTCTCTTCAATGGGCTATTTGTGTGATTACATCGATTGAAACATTGATCTCAGTGTAATAACTTTAATCACTTTACAACAGCAAGTCATTAGTATTCACTTAATGCAGATACACAGAAGTTTTCAAGATGTGATTTAATTCATGGTACAGAAGGTGATGGCTATAATAATCAGAGAGCAGAAAAAAATGTATATTGCTAAACTCAAATTCTTAATTTCCTTAAATGGTTGAATTTCTGTCTGGCAACCTTGATGATGTTCAACATCAGATTTGAAGTTTAGAAATCATGTAAAATAATAATATCTTATGGCTATGCATATTTTTGTCCTAAATTCAAAAGAACATCACTTCAAAGAGACAGATAACATTTAGTCCTCTCAAAAATCTTTAATGTCTTTTAAGTGAAACAATAAAGTATACCTGAGTATAATAATATATACATATTATTCCATCTCTGTGACATTCTGTAAAAGACAAAATGATTAACCATAAAAAATATGTGTCAAGCATATGAAAGTCAATTTCTCTACAAATATTAACTTGGAATAGTTAGCTTGTCTTATTGGCAGGATTGTTGAGTCTGAGCCAGGAGTATGTCCTGTTGTCTTATTGTATGTTACTGGGAAGAATGAAGTCATGTCTAATATTCACAAATAAATTGCTACAAAACAAGCTAGAAAAGCTTGCTTATTTGGAAGAAATTGTCTGAATTTATACAATTTATATAGCATTTTGAATATTGAACTGCAGAACTTTCCAACTGCTTCATAATTGACTGAGATTTGAATATAGTTCATGTATTTTCTAAATTTTTGTGCACTATTTTTGTATAGTCATGACACTCAAGGATAAAGCATTTTTTTCCCTTCATTTTGGAATTTTATTTGCTGCTTTTTATTAAGTATCTAAACACTACGTTCAACTTTACATTCTATAGCATTACTGTAAACCATTTTAAATGGTGTCATTTAATTTTATTTTTTTAAAAATCAGTGAAAGACTATGGAATATTTAAAGTTTTCATTGTATTTTAAGAGAATATTTGGTTATTATAGAAATATGTAATATCCACATAAATTTAGAACATAAGAATTTAGACATGGAAGAATGAGATGGACATCCTGTCCCAAACCATCTTTGAGAAAAGAAGTAAACTGAGACTAAAAGTTGTTTAGCAATTGACAAAACACATCAATCCATGACAATTAAGTGTCTTTTTTAAAGTGTTTAATATTCATTTACTATCTTGTTTTGTTTTTATTAGTGACTTTTCCATGCTAAGTCAGAAAATGACCTTACTAATCTCAGGAGAAGATGATGAGAGTCAAAATAATAATTTCTATGTATAATTTCATGATAAATTAGGAAATGAATGCTTTTCAAATTTAGATACCTTTTCATTTGCACATTTTACATTTTATAATTCGAAGTTTCACCATATCTATCTGATTCTTAGGGTTCTTTTTCTTAATTTGAAATTTTATATTGCCTGGATTTGTCTTAACTGTTCCATTAAAATAAAGAATATAAAGGAAGAAATAATAAAATAGGAATTTGGAGACTGATAATCATATAGTTTGAAAGGAGATACTTTTGAAGGGCACTGTTAAAGAGTGAGGTAAAGTTCTGACTTAATTTGCTCTGACATTTTGCTCTGACATATCTGCAGGCAAAATGCTTTCCAAGTCACTGCTGTGGACGGGGTGTGCAGTGGGATTATTCAGTGCCTCTCTGCTGAAGACTGTATAGACTGGCTACAAGCAATAGCAACAAATATTTCAAACCTCACAAAGCACAATGTAAGTAGTGATTTAAGGAATACCTGGTCATAGTTTCTCAGCCTTTGTAAAAATGTCAGCATGCACGAAGTTTAAGTCACAAGGTATTGTTGCTATGGATTCCAACAGAGTCTGACTAAGCTGTCTCTGCAATCAGTGGATACCTGCAGACAAGTTCTATCAGAAATACACGACTTAGTTTTGCTAGAGTACCTGCAAACAAAAGGTCCAATCAAAACAGTATCTTCTGAAAGAATCTGCTGGGCCAGTTAAATTCAATGCAGATGGGTCAGCTTAGAAGGCTATGGAACTCAAAAGGGGTAATATTGGTAGATTTTCTCAAACACAAATGATCATGGGCATATTATGTAGAAGTTTTAACAAAATTGAAAACTGCATTGGTGAGAAAAAGGAAATGAAAGTTGTTTTGAGGATTTATTTTTTTTCAATCACAATGCTAATTCCTCCAGGGGAGCAAGGACTGTTCTGTAAGATTTCAGTGGGAACCATTGTCCATCTATCCTACATCTGTGATATTGCCACTTCGGACTTGTATTTGTTCCCCAACCGAAAAGAATATATAAAAGGAACAAGACTTTAGTCCCTTGAGTGTACTAAAAATGCCATTTTAATGTGTAAATTGAAGACTTCAGAATTCTTTATGGAAGAGTTAAAGAAATGAAAACACCACCTTCAGAAGTGGTATAGACCAAGATTGAGAATATATCTAGAAACAATAGTTACACATTTTGAAGTGGTTTCTCAGATTTTGTAGAAATACTTTATTTTTTCCTCAAATTTTCACTTCTTTACTTTCATTATCTGCTTAGTGTTCTTATAAGAATTAAACACTTTACATCCATCACCAAAGCTATTATGAAATTCTTATTGGGGGAAAAATTCCTTTATCCTGACTTCTTTAACCCAATTTATCAGTTAAAAATACTTTGATTCATAGACTTCAGTTTATAAACATCATACATAGCTACATTAGTTAAGCAAGTCAAAATAGATAATTAGCATGCAATGGCTAAATATATTTAAGTACAAACATTCTGGGGAAAAAATGACTAAATTTAAAGGGAGAATTATTGGTGTACCTTTAGGGTACTAAGAATAGCATCTAGCAATGTTTTCGAAGAACAGAAATGTAAGAGTGACAAGAATCAACAAGGAGAGTGAAGATCTTACAAAAGAACAGCCAGAAGTCATGGTGGGAGCCAGCCACCCTTAACCATAGAGTCATGTCTACATATTTTGTAATATAAGTCTTTCTACTTTTTTCTACATTCACACTACAAGTTTTTTTCCTTTCCTTCTTCCTATGTTTTTTTATTGACTCTATCTTATCCTTATCACTATTTTTAAATAACCTAATCAGTTCTTTCTCCATGTTATTTTTAGGAAAATTATAGTCTAAAAAATGTAAAGCTATAAACTTCACTGATAACTTTTATAGGTATCATTATGGGTAATATTGTTTCAGCAAAAATACTAGATGTGATATCATTTATGACTATTGTCTTATGTCCTGGTGTGGTAATGTAGGATAAGCATTGGATTGCTAACCACAAGGTTGGCAGTGCAAACCCACCAGCTGCTCCATGAAAACCATATTTAGGGATGCTCCGAGTCAGAACTGACTTGACTGAACTTAACAACAACATAACTCCTGTTTCCACAGATGTTTTCAATTTTTACCCCTTGCCATGTTGGGGTATTTATGAAGTCCTAGGGAAAATCAATCGCAGGATAGAATCCTGCAAAAATCAATGATTTGTTCATTTCAAATACATTCTTTAGACAACATAAGAGACAACTATACACATGGACCTTACCAAATGGATTACATAGAAATAAAATTGACTACATTTGATTTGACTTAATGCGGAAGGAGACAATGGAAAACGCTATGTCATCAGTCAAACAAGGCTAGGGGCAGATTGCGGAACAGACCATCATTTACTCATATGCAAATTCAACCTGAACCTGAAAAAAATGTAAACAAGACCAAAAACAAGAGCCAAAATACCTTCAATATACCCCACCTGAATTTAAAAATCATCTGAAGAACAGATTTGATACATTAAACACTAAAGATCGAAGACCAGAAGCGTTGTGGGATGACATCAAGAACATCATACATGAAGAAAGCAAAAAGTCAATGAGAAGACAAGAAAGAATGAAAAGGTCAAAATGGATGTCAGAAGAGACACTGAAACTTGCTCTCCAGTGTAGAGATGCTAAAGCAAATGGAAGAAATGAGGAGATCCAAGAGCCGAACAGAAAATTTCAAAGGTCAGCTCAAGAAAGATAAAGCCAAATATTACAACCAAATGTGCAAAGATCTGAACATGCTGAGCATTTCTCAAGCTGAAGGAACTGAAGAAAAATTCAAGCCTCGGCATTAGTTATTGAAAGATTCTCTGGACAAATTATTGAATGATGCAGAAGGCATCAAGAGAAGATGGAAGGAATACACAGAGTCTCTGTACCAAAAGAAAAGGGTTAATGTTCAACCATTTCAAGAGGTAGCATATGATCAAGAGCCAATGATCCTAAAGGAGAAGTCCAAGGTGCACTGAAGGAATTGGCCTAGAAAAGGCACCAGGAGTTGATGGAATAAAAATGGAAATCTTTCAAGAAAGTGAGGCACCACAGGAGGCACTTGCTCATCTCTGCCAAGAAATTTGGAAGACAACTATCTGGCCGAATGATTGGAAGAGATCCATATTTGTTCATAAGAGACGTGACCCAACAGAATGTGGAAATCATCGGACAATTTCTTTGATATCCCATGCAAGTAAAGTTTTACTAAAGGTAATACAGAAATGGCTGCAAACATACATTGACAGAGAACTTCCAAAGGTTCAAGCCAGATTCAGAAGAGTCCGTGAATGAGGGATATCCTTGCTGATGCCCAATGGATCTTGGCTGAAACCAGAGAATATCAGAAAGATGTTTACCTGTGCAAAGGCTTTCAATTGTGTGGATCATGACAAGCTCTGGACATCATTAATGAAGTATGAGTATTCCGGAACACTTACTTGTGCTCATGAGGAATCTGTACCTGGACCAAGAGGCAGTTTTTTGAACAGAACATGCAAACACTGAATGGTTTAATAGTAAGAAAGATGTGCAACAAAGATGTATTCTTTCACCATACTTATTCAACTTGTATGCTGAGCCAATAATCTGAGAAGCTGAGTTATATGAAGAAAAACGGAGCATCAGGATTGGAGGAAGACTCATTAACAACTTGCAATATGCAGATGATACAACTTGGCTTGCTGAAAGTAAAGAGGACTTAAAACATTTATTGATGAAGATCAAAGAGCACAGCCTTCGGTATGGATTACATCTCAATGTAAAGAAAAGAAAACTCCTCACCATTGGACTAATAAACAACATTCTTATCAATGGAGAAGAGATTGAAGTTGTCAAGGATTTCATTGTTCTTGCATCAACTATCAACACTCATAGAAGCAGCAGTCAAGAAATCAAATGATGTATTGCATTAGGCAAATCTGCTGCACAAGTTATAAAGTGTTGAAGAGCAAAGATGTCAGCTTGAGGACTAAGGGTATGCCTGACCCAAGCTATAGTATTTTCAATAACCTCATATGCATGCAAAAGCTGGAAAGTGAATAAGGAAGACCATAGAAGAATTGATGCTTTTGAGTTATAGTATTGGAGAAGGATATTGAAAGTGCCATGGGCTACCAAAAGAACCAATGGATCCATTTTAGAAGCAGTGCAGACAGAATGCTCCTTGGAGGCTAGGGTGGCCAAACTTCCTCTCTCATACTTCGGACATATTGTCAGGAGGGACCAATCGCTGGTGAAGGATATCATGTTTGGTAAGATGGAGGGTCAGAGAAAATGAGGAAGATCCCTAATGAGATGGATTGGCCAAGTGGCAGCATTGATGGACTCAAGCGTGGTAACAGGAGTGAGGTTGGCCCAGAATCGGGCAGTGTTTCGTTCTGATGTGCATAAGGTCACTATGAGTCCGTCGTGACTCGATGGTACCTAACAACAACAACATTCAACCTGTATGCTGAGCAAATAATATGAGAAGCTGGGTTATATGAGGAAAAACATGGCTTCAGGATTGGAAGGAAGACTCATTAACAACCTGCGATATGCAGATGATACAAGAAAAAAGATAGTGAAGAAGACTTAAAATATTTGCTGATGAAGATCAAAGACCACAACCTTCTGTTTTGATTGCATCTCAATGTAAAGAAAACAAAAAATCCTCACCACTGGATCAATAAACAACATTCTTATCAATGGAGAAAAGATTGAAGTTGTCAAGGACTTCATTCTTCTTGGATCAATTTTCAACACTCATGGAATCAGCAGTCAAGA